ATATACATATATACACACATGTATCTACTACATGTATATACCACATGCATGTATATGCCACAGGCATGCATACTCCCCACACATATATACATATATTCCTATACATGTGCATGCATGCCCACACGTGCATATTACATGTGTTCCATCTGTGTGTGCACCATGCACATATCCCCATACATGTACACATCACATGTTATATATGTGGGTATTTCACACATACATGCTTCATACATGTCTCATAAATATAGGTATCACATACATACATACCCCATACTTGTATGCCCCATACATATAGATACCCCTTTTATATTAAAAATACACATACATCCCCAGTGTATATACATCCCACAGAAGTACACACATTCAGACATATGCCCCTTCATACACACGTATACACACTCCATACATGCATGGATCACACGCATACATCTTTATACATATACACACCATGTGCATACATTTCCCATACATATCGCATGTATATATACCTCATATGTGTATATACCACACACATAAATACCCCATGCATATGTACACTATACAATAAAAACCCCTAGGTATGTAATCTGTAGGCACACATCCTCCATATGTATACACATCACACATAGACATCATGCTTTTATGCAAAACAAACACATATCTCCACATGTGCATGTATCACACGCATAGCCCACACGTGTACACATACACATGCTTAGTGAGTATACATGCTATGCATACACACACATAAAGGAGCTTTAAAAAAAGTGTGTGGGAAAATGGAATTAAAAGATAGTGTAAAATTTCCATGAAGATTTTGAAGTCCCTCTCATATCCCCCATTTTCCACATATATACACATCACACCCCAGATCCCATCACTTACACCCACATACATACACACACACACCAGTAAACATGCCCCACACCAAATACATACTCACACATCCCCCACATCCACATACTACACTTTTCCTCAAATCCCATATGTCCATACATCATGCACAGTTGTACATATCACACCTACCATATGCACTCAAACATGCACTCACACTGCACATGCACACCCGCACACTGCACACACACCAGAGTCCCCTCCTCCCATGACTTGCCTTATCCCCCGCCCCCCCCCTGCCCCCGGGGTTGCTATTGATCCTTTAAAATCGGAGCCCACCAGCCTCCCCCACCAGCCCCTCCCCACTCTGCACAGGTGCACCTGCCCTGGCCCTGCTCACAGCCATGGTCCCCCTTTCTGTCTTGACTGAGCACACCCATGATGCTCTCTAGGGGGGGCTTTATGGGAGTTCAGTTTTATCCCTTCTTTCAATTTTCCTGGTGTATTAGTCTAGGTACTTAGGAGAAACAAATCCACAGCAACTCTTGTGTAAGAGAGAGTTTTATGCAAAGAAAATGTGCATCACGAAAACATCCCAACCCAATGCTGCCCAAGCCCACAAGTCCAACAGTAACCCATACCCAACACCAGTCCACAAAGTCCTCCACCTCACAAAACAGAGGCAAGGATGTCGACTGCAGGAGGAAAGCTGAGTCAGTGAATGAACAAGCATCTCAGCACTAGCAGGGGTCTCCACACGGCTGCTCCAGCACCCAGGGCTGCATCGGGATAGATCCATGCGGCTTCTCCTTGGGGATGTCTTGTAGGAAATCCATCTTGCAAGCTGAAGCAGGGAACTGCTAAGGCAGCTGCACCCGATGCAACCATCCCAAAACAAGAGACCCGAGAACTAGAAAGGCGAGGCTCACCACCCATTTATCCCTCCGCCTTTCAACCAGCACCGCATGTGATTATTGGCCAGGCTGGCACAATTAACTAACTCACCTGTCTTTCCTAGTTTTTCTTGAATGCGATTCCGTAACAAGAAAAATTAGAATCGTTATGGGAAGAAAAAGAGCACATCCATCTGCGCTCTGCTGCAGTGCAGGGGGCGGCCCGGGTGGGATGGAAAGGCCCTGTCTCACCTGCCCCTGGGCTGCACACGGGTATGTAGAGTGTGGGTGGCGTGACCCTGACGTCCCCGCATATGTCCGCAGCTATGTCTCCGCCATGGTGCCTGTGAAGTCCCCTCGGGAGTACTACGTGCAGCAGGAGGTCGCTGTCCTCTTCTGCGAGACGGTGGAGAGGTAGGAGAGGGGACAGGGTCAGCCCCTGCTCCTCCGGGCCCCACCCCAGCCCGCTGAGGCAACCTGGTGTGTGTGCGTGTGTGTACACACAAGTGCTTCTCCTCGGCAGTGCAGCAGGGAGGACAACCTCAATTCTCAGCCCCGAGGACCCTGTCCTCTGGCTCTGTGAAGCAGACCCCACAGATGAAGAGCAGGTAGCTGAGGATAAGGGTCCAGGAGGCTCCGTCACCAGAGTGGCCTCCTCCTGCAGGGAGCCTGGGGGCCAAGGCCTCCGTGGGCAGTTCCTGCCTCCTCCTATCACCGCTGCACGCCTCACGCTGCACGTCCCACCTCCCATCTCCTCCCCTCCCCTCGCCTCGAAATCTCCCCATTTCACCCTCATACTCCATCACCTCCTGGCTTCCAGCCACCTCACCTCGGTGCCCAATCACCGCCCTCTGCCACGCCCCCGCCTCCGCCCTGCACGCCCTCACCTCGTCCCCTGTACCCTCCTCCTCTCCCCTGGAGACCGCCACTCCTCCACACTTCCCTTCCCCTCCTCACCTCCGCATGCCCCACTTTCTCACCTGCTCACTACCTCTCCACCTCCCTGGAACTGCCCCTGCCCACAACGACCGTCAACCCCTCACCTTCCTGGAACCACCACTGATCATTACATCACCATCACCAGCTCACTCACCTCCTCCGTGTTCCCATCCCCCCACCCCTACTCACCTTCACAGGCCAGGGCAGTGCACTTGCCGGATCCCAGGCCCATAGGTTCTGGGATGTGTGTGTGTGAATGACCAGTCCTCTCCCCGCGGCCTGTATAGCCCTCTTAAGTCCGATTTCCACACGGACTTTGTGGGCCACCATGTAACCGGAAATGTTTCTCCCATTTGATCCGTGCGACGACCTCAGTCAGATAATGTTTAGATACGCCTGTTGTCGCACCATGGCTATAATTTTTGCCCCAAGACAGGTGTGTCCCGATTCCATCTGGAAAAGTCTTTGATGCCCTCAGAAATCAGTGGGCCAGGAAATCTGACCTCTGATTTTGAGCAGAGTGGTGGCCCCAGCACCTGCATGTCCCAGGAAGTGAAAGGAACCCCCCACTTCTCGGGGGTACTGCTGGTCCTGAGGGGTGGGATGGTCCCCCAGGGTCACTCCGAGTGTCCCTTCTGGGCCACCATCTCAGCCCTGTGTTTGGATGGCCTGGCCTGTTGTCCACAGGGCCCCGGCAAGTACCCCCTTTGCCGGTCCCTGCTTCTCCCTCCGTTCCTGGGGCGGGGTTCAGGGGACGCGATTAGGTGGACTAATGGGGAAGTGAGCAAGGTAGAGAGGTGAAGTGGGGTGGAAGGTTCCAGAACCTCTGGGACGGAGCTGGCATCGCCCTCCGGCAGCAGCCCTGCTGCCCTGCGGTGACATGGGCCTGACGCGTGGACACAGGCAGGAGCCGCTGGCCTGTCCCTCCGCACGGTCTCCTTCCTCCACAGAGCCCTGGACTGCGGGTACCTCACTCAGGACATGATAGACGACTATGAGCCAGCGCTCATGTTCACCATCCCCAGGCTGGCCATTGTGTGGTGAGTGTCCTTCCCGCCTGTGGCGCTGGCCGTGGCTTGGCAGACACCCGGCCAGATTTCCCCGTCTGGACCTGGTGGCCCTGGCCCCCTGGAGGCGCTGAAGCTGGGAGCCCAGCAGGCCCACTGTGGTGAGGAAGTAGGCCAGGATGCTTCGTCTCTTGCTGAGCGTCCCAGAGCATCTCTGAGGCAGGCCAGACTCAGGTGCTCAGCGGCGTGGCCACACCTGACGGCACCTGGTGAGGAGGGAGTGTGGGCAGAGCTCCTGAGGGAGAAGGGGGCAGGCCAGGGGGCTGACATGTAGAGAGTTGTGGGGGCGGGCAGCTGTGATGGGCTGGCAGGTAGGGAGCTGGGCAGGAGTGGGGGCCAGGAGTCCTCACCTTCAGATACCAGGTGTCGACATGGATGCTGGAGAAGGGTCCTGGGAGGGTGGGATGTGGTCGTGGGGCCAGGCAGCGAGGCTGCCAGGGGAGGGGAGGAGAGCCCTGGACATGGGACTGCAGCACAGCCCCTCCTGGGATATGGGAGGCAAGAGCCTGAGTGGGGGAAATAGAACCTGAGTGGGGTGTGCAGAGTCTGAGTGGGGTGTGCAGAGTCTGAGTAGGGGGTACAGAGTCTGAGTGGGGGGGTGCAGAGTCTGAGTGGGGGGTGCAGAGCCTGGGGAGGGGGAGTGCAGAGCCTGAATGGGGTGGGGACTGAGCACCAGGCCCAGAGGGCAGTGCCTCCCTTGTGGGGGGAGCAGCCCCAAGCTGAGGGAAGGAGGAGGGTGAGGACAAGGTGCCGGACACAGCTCTGGGCAGGGCTGGCCCGTGTCCCCTGCCAGTGTAACTCTGGAGTTGGAAGGTCAGATTGACTGCTCCTCGTGGGCCGGGAGATGTAGCCTGGGGGACAGAAGCTGGGAACTCCCTCAGGATTTGGGAGACTGGGCGGTAGCGTGAGAACTCTCTGGCTCCAGTCGCAGTGTCTCCCGATTGTGGAGTGAGGGGCCACATGGCGCCTGGCCCTCCGCCTCCATCCTGCCCTTGGCGGCCCCTCAGCCTCAAGCCCGGCTCGTTGCAACCTTCCGGAAATCAGCATGTGGGAGTGGGCCTTGTCACTCCACGGGGGCCTCCTTTTAGGACCCCTTCAACAGTGGGAGCTGAGCCGGAGGTGATGGGGGTTCCCCTGCTGCCCCCCATGGTGTCCACTGTGTCTTCTCCGAGGCCACTGAGTTTGAAGCAAATGAGGAGCCGGTGGGCCCCGACCTCGTTGCTTCAAAACCAAGTTCTTCCGGTCCATGTGATATGATACAATGGAATGCACATGGACGTGCCACAAGAAAACGTATGGAGCAGACAGCGATGTGACAGAAAGTGCAGACATAGATGATGATTATCGTTACTGTTTTTAAATGTCATAGGGCTTGAAGCGGGTTTTTCTAGCTGGGAACTGTGAGCCTGTCCTGGACCCTGAGACACAGAACTTCTTGGAGGGAACAGACTGAAACCCAGTCTGGACACACACTCACATACTCACACACACCACACTGATACACACATACCACTCACTCACACACACACACATTTCACACACTCCTACATGCACACACATACTCACACACACTCACACTCATATACACATACCACTCACACACTTCACACACTCCTACATGCACACACACTCACACACACTCACACTCATACACATACCACTCACTCACACATACACACTTCACACACTCCTAGATGCACACACATACTCACACACACACTCATACACATACCACTCACTCACACACACACATTTCACACACTCCTACATGCACACACACACACATACACACACATTCACACACTCACATTTCATATATTTATACATTCACACTCACACACTCTGCCATAGAGTTGATCCTGACCCTTAGTGACCTTACAGGACAACAGAATCACCCCTGTGGGTTTCTGAGACTGTAACTCTTTTAAAACAAATTAACAAATCATCTTATCGAGGGCTCTTAAAGCTGTTGTCACAATCCGCACATCAGTTGTAGCAAACACATCTATACATACGTTGCCATCATCATTTTCAAAACATTTTCTTTCTGCTGAGCCCTTGGTATCAGCTCCCCTTTCATCCTCCCTCCCCACCGTCCCAGAGATTGTGACTCTTTCCAGGAGTAGAAAGCCTCATCTTTCTCCCTTGGAGCTGCTGGTAGTTTCAAACTGTTGACACTGCCGTTCAAAACCCAACGTGTAACCCCTATGCCACCAGGGCTCCCAGCCTGACCCTTGGCTCCTTAAGCTCCGCCCATGATGTTTCTGAAGCGGGTCCTCTTAGTCCTGAATGAGCCTGGGGTGGGAGAATGATGAGGTCCCGCCTGCCGCCCGGTCCTGCAGTGTTAGATGGCAGTGGGTTTGAGTTGAGTTTGTTTCTGGCGAGGTGAGGGCTTGTGTCAGTCTGGTTAGACTAGAGAAACAAACCCATGGACACACACATATGTATAAGAAAGTGTTTTATATACAAGAGGAATTAAACATTGAGAAAACATCCCAACCCAGTCCAGGCCAAGGCCGTAAGTCCAACATTAGCCCACATGTCTGATACCAATCTATAAAGTCCTCTTTAGACTCATGAAACACATGCAATGAAGCCAAATGCAGGACGATCACAAGCCAGTGGGGAGAAAGTCTTTGGGTCCAGTGGCGTAAGCATCTCAGCTCTGGCAGGGGTCTCTCTGTGGCTTCTCCGGCTTCTGAGGTCTGGTTGCGTCCATGTGACTTGTCTTCTGCAATGTCTCCCAGGGAGTAGCAGAGAGAGAGAGAGAGAGAGAGAGAGAGAGAGAGAGAGAGGTGTCTTCTGCCTCCAAGGAGGAAGTACCGGATTTCCCAGAATTCTCAGGGCAAGGCCATGCTCACATAGAAGTCTCATTGGCTGTCTCTAGATCGACAGCCTAGACTCCACCCCTACACTCTTAATCCTTAAATTGACACCAGATTAGGTGACTCCCACAAGGCTGCTGGCTGGGGGTGGCCAGTGGAAGTGGAAATCCCGGTTCACTCCAGGCTGATTGCCCACTGTCCACTTTCCCTGGGTGGTTTCTCCAGCCTCATTCCGGAGTCGTTTCCGGGTCATCATGTTAGTGTCCACAAGCCCTGTCCTCTCATTGTCCATGTGCAGCTTTAGGTCAGTAAGCCCGTGCCCCTGGACGGCTGCAGCGGTGATTGGGGGGTGTGTGTGTGTTCATGATGCTTCAGTGGTCCCTCAAATCATCACAAGTGAATGTAGAAATGGGCCCAGCCAGGGGGGGCAGTGTCTGCCACTTACTGAGACTCAACCACAAGAAGGCAAGGAGGGGGGCATGGGGGACAGTCCAGTAAGTGTATTCCCTGTGTGCTGGGAGACCCAGCCCCCCTGGCGCCTGTCACTGGTCCTTGAGTGTGTTCCCAGCCAGGCAGTGAGTCCCAGAGTCCCTGGCTCCTGGTCCAGGCCTGATGCCGGCCTGGCTTTTCTGTCTTGACTTCAGTGGCCTTGTGGTGTATGCGGAGGGACCTCTGAACCTGGACCGCAAAGCGGAAGATATGTCCGAGCTGTTCCGGCCCTTCCACACATTGCTGCGGAAAATAAGGTGGCCAGGGGGTGGGGAGTGAGGGAAGAAGGGTTCTCTGGAGTGGGGGGTTTCCTCTACGGGTGGCATGCAAGGAGGGGAGGAAGTGGAATTTTGATGACGGGAACCATATGGGGTTACCTGAGGTTACCCTTCCTGGGACTTCAGGTGAGGCCGGGTGGGTGGGTGATGGGACCTGCAGCCTCACTTGGCCCTGCTTGAGACTGGGCCAATCCAACCCCCTGTGTGCTGTGTTTCCCGGTCCCTACACCAGCGGGTGGTACACTGCCCATCTGAACCGCCCCCACAAAACTCCAACCCCACTGCCTTCAAGCCGATTCCAACTCTCATCGGCACAGCAGAGGAGGGTAGGACTGCCCACCGGGTTTCCAAGACTGTACCTTGACCGAGGCAAGACTGTCCCTCCTTGCTCCCACAGCGTAGCTGTTGGGTTTTGGTGGGAGTCCAGAAGGCTAGGAGAGCTGCACTACCTAGTTCACTGCAGTGCAGAGTCCACTGAAAGCCCAACACACTGTGTATCTGAAACTCAGAATTTTCCAGCACCCTGGATTCTGCCTGGCAGCCAGGCACACAGGAGACAGCAGCAAGTGAGGCTGGCACCAGGGTGCAGACGGCATTGCCCCCCACCTCTCCAGAGCTTCACCTCCATATCTGATCTGCAGGGAGGAAGGTGGCCATGGGGCCAGACATTCGAGGGGCCCTGGGCACTGAGTCCTGGCAGCACTTGTGGACCTGACGGATGCAAGTCGCTTTGTGCCTTTGCTACCCGCCTGTGTATTGTTTAAGACCTACTAATGCACTGAGCACATGCCCGAGAGTCAACTCATTCTGGATTTCCCGGTTATCCGCCATCCAGCCGAGTCTGACCCTATGTAGGCTCCCTCCCCTCACTGCCAGTCTTTTCAGGAGCACACTGCCTCATCCTTTTGCCACCAAGCGGCGGGTTGGTTTGAACCACCGCCCCTGCAGTTATCAGCCAGAGCCTACTCGACAGCCACTGGGGTTTTGTCAGGTTCAGGATCCCATGTGTCTTAGTCCGGGTCGACTTGGGAAACAGACCCAGAGACACTCATGTGTGAAAGAGAGAGCTTTCTATAAAAAGTAATTGTATATGGAGAAACATCTGAGCCCAGTCCAGATCAAGCCCATCAGTCCGATGTTAGCCCATATGTCCGATACCAACCGATAAATTCTTCTTCAGACTCACAACACATGCAATGATGCTGAGTGCAGGAAGATCACAGGCCAGTGGGTGGAAAGTATTGTGGATCCAGTGGTGGTGGAAGCATCTTAGCATTGGCGTGGGTCTCCACGTGGTTCCTCCAGCTCCAGGGCTCTGGCTCCATCAGCGTAGCACCTTGTGTCTTGTCAGCAGGAATGTCCCATGGGGAGAGAGTGTGTCCCGCCTCCAGGGAGGAAGACTGGAGTTCCCAGCATTCTCAGGAGAAGGCCACGCCCACACAGAGGCCTCATTGGCTATGACCTGACTGACAGGCTAGACTCCACCCCTTCGCTCCAGTTGACAGGCGATGAGGTCACTGCCACACATTGTAAAGTGGGAAACCACCCTGGAATCTGACCTGGCCACTGGTTCTGACCCGAGGCGCTGACAGTCCCTGGGGAAGTCTGCTCCAGTGTCCTTATGGTCCTGGTGCCAGGCCCACCCTACGGCCCTGGTGACCATAGCATCGTTGCCCCTGTGGGATGATGTCTGGGCCCCGGGTCCCTTCTTTGGGACCTCACCCCCTGGTTGGTCTCTGCAGGGACTTGTTGCAGACCCTGTCGGATGAGGAGCTGCACACGCTGGAGCGGAACCTCTGCATCTCCCAGGATGTGGAGTACCCCACCCGGGCCGATGCCCAGGCACCCCCTGATGCCCTGCCGTCCACCTTCCCCCCACCCCTGCCACCCGCCGAGCCCCTCTCCTCCAAGACCAAGGCTCCGGACGCACCGGACACGGAACTGGCCTGCTCCATGCAGTACGATGACCAGGAGCTGGAGCAGCTCAACCGCCTGGTCCACCGGGCAGGGGATGAGATGTCGTCCCTCCTCTCCCCACCCAGCGCCTGCCAATCCCCAGCTCACCGGCTGGCCGCCCAGGGCAGCCCCCGTGGCCAGGCCTCTCCTGCCAGGGCGGGGCAGCAGCCCAGAAGCGACGAGGAGGTCAGGGTGTTCTTCATGGACGATGTGGAGGGGGCGGGAGAGGGGGCCGGCAGGCCAGAGGCCCCGGGCGGTCCCCCAGGGTGGGCGCCCAGCCCCTGTGCCCAACCCCGGGCCGGAGAGTGCACCGAGACGGGACTCAACCAGCCTTGCTCGGAGAAGGAGGAAGATGCACGCAACAACAACGTTGAGGACACCAAGGCGCGGGCAGCCGGCCTCTCGGGGCCCAACTCCTGCAGCTGCCTGGACGCAGCCCAGCTGGCACTGGAGAGCTGGGAGGCCGGCACCGAGGACGCCGAGACGGCCGAGCTGATCGCCCACCGGACGGGGGGCATGAAGCTCTCTGCCACGGTCATCTTCAACCCCAAGTCGCCGACGTCCTCCGCCACCCTGGAAGCCACCCCGGGGGACCGGGCAGTGGAGAGGGTGGACGCCGACCGTGTGCTCAGCCCAGCCGCCACCCACTGCCTCATCAACTCGTGTGTGTGCTGCCGGGGCTGTGGGGACGGCGGGGAAGAGGCTGTGGAACGTGTGCAGAAATGCAGCCCCGGAAGCTCAGTCAAGACTTGTCATGCCGGCGGCAAGGTCCCCGGGGAGAGCCTGGAGCCACAACTGCCGGCTCCAGAGGCATTGCCCCAAGGTGCCACAGCCCCTCTGTCCTCAGAAGATGCCCCCAACAGGCAGGAGCTCACGGCCCCTTCATCCTCACAGGGCCTGGAGCTGGCCAGGTCCCAGGTGGACCCAGGAGGTGGGTCGCCAGGTGAAGGTGATGGTGACGGAGGTCAGCAGCAGGGTGAGGCCCAGACCAAGGACACTGGGAAGGAGGCCCGGGAGGACAGGCATCAAGAGCTAGGCACCCAGGAGGAAGCCCGGAGTCCACCCAGCGCCAGGTAAGGCCTCGAGGTGGGGGGTAGCTGGCCTCACGCTGTGCACCCCGGGATGCGGCCAGATGGTAATGGGCCGGCTTCAGGTGCAGCCTCGGGAGCGCCGTCCATCGGAGGGTGGGGTAGAGCCGGCGGACAAATGTGCCCTCCTCCACGACTGCTGTGCTGCGGCCACGCCGCTGAGTGTGCCCCCACCTCACCTCCTTGGCTGGCTCACAAGCTGCCCAAAGGAACGGATGGGGCTTGGCCTTGCAGCCCTCGCCAGTCTTAACAGAGCAGGACCTGCAGGGTGGCGTCTGCTGTAGCAGGTGCTGCGGAAGCATGCACATCTCACCCATCCCTGCCCCTTCACACCTCCCCACAGCCCGATGCTGCAGCACCTTCTCATGAGCTCAATGCAACTGTGACCCTGGCCTTGCTCAGGCCCCTGGGCAGGTGCAGGTATCAGGTTAGGAACAGGTCACAAGCCCTGTGAAAGATGAGGCCAAGTCGGCGACCATTGCCCAAGTCCCAGGGACAGCCACCTGGTTTTGGTTTGGCTTGAGGGCCCAGTGTGGCTGCCCCTGTAAGCCCGGTTCTTCCTGGGGACCAGCTGTTGGGGGCTGATGCGTGTCCACCAAAAACGCATGGCCACCCCACCTCATTTGATGGACCTTCCCTTGATTGCACTCACGGCTCATGACACTCTTCCTCTTGACAAGTGGAAGGTTGGTGGCAGTCCTACGGGGAAGTCTAGCCGTGCCATTGGACAGACTTGTTTTCCAGACAGCTCGCTCGGGTCTCTGTGCTTTGTTTTGGCCATTCCCTCGATGTTTCGACCCTCTGTGTCAGGCTGCTCACTGCAAGGCCAGCCCTTTGAACCCTGAGGGCCGAGGCTGAGGCCGCCTGCTCCTGTCAAGAGTGACAGTGTCAGAAACACCTGGCGGCCGTTCTGCCCCGCCCCGCAGGGTCACCTGAGTGAGGATTGCCTCCCCTGAGCAGTGGTTTTCATGGCGTCCTTTGCCAAGCCCAAACTGACCGCCATGAAGTCAATTCCAGTTCATTGGGCCCCTACAGGAGGAGCCCCGGTGGAGTCCATAGCAGCTGACGCATTGGGCTGCTGGAGGCAAGGCCAGCAATTCAAAACCACCAGCCGCTCCACGGGAGAACAATGAGGCTTTCTACGCCAGTAGAGAATTACAGTCTCCAAAACCCACGTGGAGTCACTGCAAATCAGAAATAAGTTGATGAGCAGTGAGCTTGGCTTTTTTGCTTTTTGGGGGTGGGTGTGCACCCCTACATTGGGTTTCCGAGACTGCACATCTTTACAGTCTCAGAAACGTAAGAACCACTGTGAAGATGGTGCGGGACCAGGCAGTGTTTCGTTCTGTTGGGCATTGGGTCCCAGTGAGTGGGAACCGGCTCCTTGGCACTTAAACCAGCAACCACAAATCTACAGACCGGCCCCGTGGCACCTACCGGCAACCACAAATCTACAGGAGCAGTCAGCTTCCTCTTTCTCCCAGGAGCAGCTGGTCCCCACGCTGCCACCGGGCTCCTCTCATACAAGGCAGTAGAGCATCAACCTGACTTCCCGGTGCACCAGTGTGTTAGTCCAGGGTTGATGAGAGAAACAAATCCAGAGACACACTCGTATGTGTGTGAGCAGAGCTTTGTATCAAAGAGTAATTGTATATCAAGAAAGCCTGATTCAGTCCAATAGTCTGATGTTAGCCCATATGTCAGATACTGGTCAATAAACTCCTCTTCAGACTCATGCAGCACATGCAGTGATGCTGAATGCAGGAGGATCACAGGCCGGTGGGTGAAAAGTCTTGTGGATCCAGTGCCAGTGGAAGCAGCACAGGGCTGTGTTGGCAGTTCTCTGTGGGGCTCCTCCAGCTCTCTGAGCGTGGCTCCTCAATGTGGCTCCACGTGGCTGGTCAGCAGGAGGGTGAAAGCTGGAAGAGAGAGGCCAGCCTCTTCTGATGGCAGAATCACCAGAGAGGGAGTTCCCAGAATCCTCCTGAGAAGGCCACGCCAGAAGGAGGCATCATCTGGCAAGGGACCTGATTGACAGGCTAGGCTCCACCCCCTTTACTCTTGACATCCTCAAGTTGACACGCAATTTATGTAATTACCACAGCCGGGAACCCACGCAATGTGTACAGCCATTTTAAGGCACCATCTCCCAGCAGCACTGAAAACACCCATTGGGGCAGCCGGCCCTGTGAAGGTGGCCTTGTCTGGGGAAATAGGCCTTCCTGGGCAGGCGCCGTCTGGCTAGGTCAGCGAGGCCCTATTGGAGCAGGCCGGGGCCCTAGTCCTGATCCCTTCTGAGCAGCGTCCTTCAGAAAAGAAGGGTAGATGGGGAAACAGAGGCACATGCCAGGGAGGCCAGCAGGAGGGCCCATTAACAGCACACGCAGTTGCAGGAGAGCCCCAGGGCTGAAGGAGCCTGCAGACTCCCAGCCTCGGGAACTAGGGGCCCACATCCCAGGAGATGGCCGACAGTGCTCAGAAAGAAGTCATGTTTTCTCTCAGACACGGACCTAGGAGACTGGCCCGGCCGAGCCACCTGAGGGCCATCCAGTGGAGGTGGCCCAGCCCCCAGCACACTGACCCTTCTCTGGTGGACAGCCCTCTGTCGATAAGTCCCACGTGTATCCCTGTGCCGCGGAGAGTGGAATGACAGCCGTGGCTGTCCTGTGCACCAGGGCCTGTCACCGTGCCCAGGGCCCTGTCTGCACCATCTTGTGTGGACCTTGTGGTCCCCTTAGGAGTGCCACCCCTGTGATGGGCCAGGGGATGGGTGATGGAGGACGTGCCGTCAGGCCTGTTCCCACTCATCCAGCCGCCCGAAGCCCACCTTCCCCTGGCCAGGGATTATCCCTGCAATCTGCCCTTAGCCACCGCCTCCACCCTCCACGATTCTGATTGGATGCCCAAGCCAGACACGATGGTGGGTGTGCCCCCTCACCCCACTCTGGTGGGCTCTGAGAAGACCACCGTGTTGTCCTGTTTGGTCAGGACAGCAAAACCAAGGGCTTCCCTTGCCGTCAATGGGGTGCCCCCGGCAGCCAGTCCCACCACCGCGCCCCTGAAACACCTCAAGAAATAAGAAGTTTTAATGTGGAAAATCTCAGACAAGCAGGAGCAGCAGAGTCATCTACAGACATGACCTCTGCTCCCACCGTTACTGCCCCACAGTGCGTGCACACATAAACACACACACACACACACACACACACACACACCATTGGGAGACAAAACCCAGAGCCTTGCCATCCACAGGCGCCTGCCCCTCTAAGACAAGGCCTCATTCTACAAACATCATAACCACAGCCAGGCCACATATCTGAAGAGCCAGCCAGCTCAGTGTCATCTGATGTCCAGCTGTGGTCAAAGCCTCCAGCACCTCTTTTCTCTGCACTCAGTTTGAATCAGGATCCAAACACAGGTCACACCTCACCATTGGCTGGGGTGCCTTCCCAGGTTCTCTCCTTCCTAGGCTGCTTCTCATCCAGGTCTCTGCTCCCCTTCTCTGCCCTTTTCCTCTCCCCACGCCCCACCCCCACTCTTGTCTTTACAATCCACGGCCTGGCTTTTACAGGTGCCTTGGCCCATCCTGTGCAAGGTCGCTGTGAGTCGGGCTGGACTCAGGGCAGGGAGCGGGAGTCTGAGAGTTTGAGACCCATCCTATTGTCACCACCAGTTGCTCACAGCAAGCCCGGCCTGGGTTGGGAATCGAACCGCGCTCCTGGGAGGCTTTCAGTGGTTTTGTGTCTGAGATGCGGATCCCCTGGCCTCTCTTCTGAGGCTCCTTCAGGTGCTGTCAGACCTCCAGCCCCTCGGTCAGCAGCCCTGCCAAACGTAAACCACCGGTGACAACCCTGCCCGGGGCCCCATCAAGGCTGCCAGGCCACTGGCTCCAACTCTAGAATTCCTTTTTCTTTTAATGAGAAGCTGGATCAGCGCCCCTCATCTAATATCTGGTTATATTAGAGATAAACTTGGTGGGGACAAGGCAGAGGATATATACGTTTTTATTCTTTATTGAATGACAGGTTTTCAGAAAGCCAAGTTGATGTCCTAGCCGTCTTCAAACTTGATCGCGGACAGTCTCTCTCTCTCGTTCTTCTTTTCAGTTGTATGATTGTGGTGCAGTGAGTGATTTACTAAGGCTCTGCGAGCCATGTAGTCTTCGAGACTGCCACACAACTGTGATTGAGCGGGACCAGGCAAGTAGGGTGTGTGACCTGCGCCGGTTGAGGTTGTGGCAATGGGGCCAGGCTGATGCCCAGGGTGGGGTGGTTCCTCCATTGGGTGAACTAAAGTTATTATCCTCCACTGTGTGTATTGTAAATCCTGACCATGATGTCTTAAGGAGAAAGGGTCAGGCTATGTTAACGGGGATTAGGTTGGTTGTTGTGTTAATGAGGCAGGGTTCGGGTTGTGAAGGTAGGTGCCATCCAGCTGGGTCTGACCCCTAGTGAGCCTACAGACCACACTGCACGGTCTTGCGCCAGCCTCACAGTCACTCCGGTGCCTGAGCCCGTGGTGGAAGCCATCCATCTCCTTGGGCCTTCCTCTTTCTCACCGCCCCTGTGCTTGACCAAGCATGATGTCCTTCTCCAGGGACCCATCTCCTGACCACACGTGCAACGTACGTGAGAGGAAGTCTCGCCATCCTTGCCTCTAAGGAGCACTCTGGCCGTACTTCTCCCAAGACACATTTCTTGGTTCTTTTGGCAGCCCTTGGTGCCTGCAACATTCTTCCCCAGCACCACCGTTCACAGGCACCGATTCTTCTTTGGTCTTCCTTATTCGATGTCCACCTTTCACATGCATACGAGGCAATGGAGAACACCAGGGCTTGGGTCAGACGCACCCTAGTCCTGAAAGCGACTTCCTCGCTTTTCAGTGCTCTAACGAGGTCCTGTGCAGCAGATTCACCTCATGCAGCATGTCTTCTGCTCTCTTGGCTGCTGCTTCCACGAGCATGGGTTGTGGGTCCCTCCAAGCAA